CCATATTGGCCTTTCCAGGATGATACAATGTGGTGATATCATAGTCGTTCAATAGCTCCAACCACCTCCTCTGCCTCAAATTGAGCTCCTTTTGCTTGAACAAATATTGTAAGTCATGAACAGGATAATTCTTCTCGTGAACCTTCAGTTGCCGTAAAGCATATGCAATAACCTTGACACCCTGCATTAATACCGCACCCAGTACAATACGAGATGCATCACAATCTACTGTATAAGGCTTTGAACCTGTGGGCAGCACCAACACCAACACTGTAGTGAAAGTTGTCTTGAGATTATGAAAGCTCGCCTCACAATTCATGAATAGGCTTAGTAGAGTCTGAGGGATTGGTACGGTGACGTCTTTATTTATCTCCCAAAGGCTACAGAGTTTAGGAACAATTTCATTTCTATTCTTCTTTGTCGTGCGATTTTTGTTCTTCCAGTGCTAATCGAACTCTTCTGCTTTTGTTCTTTAACAGATGGAAAGAATTCGTACCGCGTCTTCAGCTGAGCAGCAGCTAGAGCCCCCAGTGGCAGCTCCTACGAGGGGTAGAGGTCGAGGCCATGCCAGAGGCCGAGGTAGGGGCAGGGCTATGCCCAGAGCTCGAGCAGCAGCACCAGCGGCGGAGCCTCAAGTAGAGTTTGATGAGGAGGCTCCAGCCCAGACCGTTCCAGTAGGACCAACACAGGTCCCAAAGGGGTTCATCGCCGCCCCGGTACTTCAGGATGCTTTGGTCCATCTAGTGGTCCTCATGGAGAGTGTGGCACAGGCCGACATATTTCCTATAGCACCAGCCATCTCTCAGGCTAGGGAGGAGCACAAACTCCCGTTACCCACACTCTGGAGTAGATGGCTCCTCAGTTTCAAACTCCAATAGCTCAGCCCGTTAGGGTAGTTCAGCCGGGTGTTGCGGCACAAACTGGTGATGGATCGGCTAGGTCTTCTGAGGCTTTGTGGAGATTGGATAGGTTTACCAATCTTTTCCCAGTTCACTATAGCGGTGCATCTTCAGAGGATACCCAAGACTATCTGGACAGATGTCATGAGGTGCTACAAAACATGGGGATAGCGGAGACTAATGGGGTCGACTTTGCTGTATTTCATTTGCCAGGTTCTTCCAAGAAATGGTAGAGGAATTATATGTTGGCCAGACCAATTGGGTCGCCAGCTCTTACTTGGGACTAGTTCTGTCAGCTATTTCTTGAGAAGTACCTTTATATCACTCAGAGAGAGGACTGTCGGAGGCAGTTCGAGCGTCTGTAGCATGGTTCTATGACTTTCACTCAATATGAGACTCGATTTGTAGATCTAGCCTGTCATGCTATTCTTCTGCTTCCTACTGAGAGAGAGAGGGTAAGGGGGTTTATTGAAGGACTTGCTCAGCATATCACATTGTAGATGGCTAAGGAGACTGGGAGTGAGATTTCTTTTCAAGTGGAAGCCAATATTTCCAAGCGAGTCGAGATGGTTTTAGCTCAGGGGATTAGTCAGGGGTCTGACAAGAGGTTGCATCACTCCGGTGGATTCAGTGGACCTCATCTGGAGGTCGAGGTACTTTTGGTAAAAGCCATCCTCCCAGGCCATTTCATTTAGCACTCCAGGCATCCCATGGTGCTTTAGGTGGTCGTGTTCCTCATATGCATTATTCGGATCAGCTAGCCTACAGTGTGCCACCATCTCCTATTAGTATACCTCCTATTTAGAGTTATTACCGTGGTCAGCCGGCCCGTTCGGGTCAATCTTAGTTTCTATGGCCACATTATCAGGATGGATGTTTCGAGTGTAGTGGCTACGGGCATATCCGGAGGACCTGTCCGAGATTATTGGGCATTCCGCCAACAATAGAGTTCTCGTGCCATGATTCCGGCACGGCTGCACTATCGCCCACTCAACCAGCCAGAGGTAGGGGTCAAGCAGCTAGAGGTAGAGGTCAGGCCTCTAGAGGTAGAGGCCAAACCATTAGGGGTAGAGGTCAGGCCGCTAGAGGTAGAGGCCAACCAGTAGGGGGTCGTCCTAGGGATATGGTTCAGAGTGGTGGGGCCCAGCCCCTATGTTATGCTTTTCTAGCCAGGCCCGAGGCTGAGTCATCCGATGTTGTTATCACAGGTACCGTTTTAGTTTGCAGTACAGATGCTTCAGTTCTATTTGATCCTAGGTATACCTATTCCTATGTGTTATCTTATTTTGCTTTATATTTGATTGTGCCTCGTGATTCTTTGAGTGCCACTGTATATGTGTCCACATCTGTTGGGGATTCTATTGTTGTAGATCATGTCTATCGTTCATATGTGGTTATTATTGGGGGTTTTGAGACTAGCGTAGATCTTCTACTTCTCGATATGGTTGATTTTGATGTTATTTTGGGGATGGATTGGCTGTCACCTTATCACGCTATATTGGATAGTCACGCCAAGATGTGACCTTATCCTTGTCGGAGTTGCCTCGATTAGAGTGGAGATGGACTCCTAGTCATTTTACCAACAATGTTATCTCTTATATGAAGGCTCGGCGTATGGTCGAGAAGGGGTGTCTAGCTTATTTGGCTTATGTCCACGATTCTAGTGTGAAGGTTCTTTCCATGGATTCTATACCAGTTGTTCGAGAGTTTCCAGAGGTATTTCCTGCAGACCTACCGGGGATGCCACCCGACAAAGATATTGACTTCTGTATTGATTTGGTTCTGGGCACTCAACCCATTTCTATTCTGCAATATCATATGGCCCCACCAGAGTTGAAAGAGTTGAAGGAGCAGTTGCAAGATTTGCTTGATAGGGGATTAATTAGACCTAATATCTCTTCCTAGGGTGCGCCCGTGTTATTTGTGATGAAGAAAGATGGGTCGATGAGGCTGTGCATTGATTACCGGCAGTTGAACAAAGTCACTATCAAGAACAAATATCCATTGCCGAGGATTGATGACTTATTTGATCAGCTTCAGGGTGCCAAAGTATTTTCAAAGATCGATCTGAGGTCTTGCTACCATCAGTTGAGGATAAGGACATCCGATGTCCCTAAGACAGCTTTTCGAACTCGATATGGGCATTATGAGTTCCTGGTGATGTCATTTGTCTTGAGAAATGCCCCAAAAGCATTTATGGATTTGATAAACCGGGTGTTCAAGCCATATCTGGATTCCTTTGTGATTGTGTTTATTGATGATATCTTGATCTACTCCCGCAATCGAGAGGAGCATGTGCAGCATCTTCGGATCGTACTTCAGACGCTGAGAGATAGCCAGTTGTATGCTAAGTTCTCAAAATGCGAGTTTTTGTTGGACTCAGTCGCTTTCTTAGGGCACGTTGTAACAACAGAGGGTAGGTTGCACATTGAACTACATAAATATTCAACTTCAACCTCTAGTATTCTCCCATAAATGATCTATTAATGTATTACGAAGTGCAAAATGAGCATCTTTGTCCCTAATTCTTCTATGTCGAGCTAAAAATTTTGAAATCGTTGATTTTCATCTACTGCCATTTCTACTATTGGAATTGGACCTTCGAAATCATCTTGAATTGGTGCATTGAGATCACGCTCATTCTCGATTATCATGTTGTGCAGTATAATATATGTAGTCATTATATCATGAGAATCCTACCCATGATTCACCCTATCTATCATCTCCTAACTTATCATCATTTTCACTAAATTTAAATGAGGATGTTGCAGGTGATTCCACGACATCACAACGACCTAGCGGGGTTAAGAAAGCAAAAATGAAGAGAAAAATTGACGAAGATTATATGAAGACAATCCAATCAGAAAATAATCGGATGGTTAAGGCGATGAATAATGCAACCGAGGCAAAAAAGGATGTTTTGATTGTTCAAAAAGAAAAAATAAGAGTAAAAGAAATAAAAGAAGAAAATAAAGTTTTAATGGTGGATGCGGATTCTATTGTCGATCCAACTCGTCGTAAATTTATGCGACAAGAACAACAACGAATAATGTATAAAAGAAGTCAACAATATCAACAGTCACAACCGCAACAATCCTCATCCCCATTCACTCTATACTATAATGATTTTGGTGTAACTGGAAACGACATATCTCCCTACTAAGTTATTATGATATTTATCGTAGTTTCAATTTTTATGTATTTTAAATTAATGTATTTTCGATTTTCATGTATTTTCACTTTTCACTTTTTAATTTTAGCAACATCTAATATTTTATATTCACACCTTTCAATTTTAGCAACATATAATATTTTATATTTGCACCATTCATTTTTTGAGATGATTATATATTTTTTTTGTACAATTATAACTTATAATAAAATTAACTTACAATTTTACATAAATGCACGAAAATTAATTTATCAAAATTATACGCCAAAGTTAAAATGTAAAATTAATATTATAATATAAAGATATTACATAAACATAATTAGGTATATATAAAGAGATAAATTAAAAGATTAAATAATAAAATATTACATAATAGTAATGGGGAAGATGAATAGTGTACCCCATATTTGAGGGAACACTATTCATCCCCCATTTTGGGAACAAAAATGAGGGTAGGTTGGAGCTTTATTACCCCAAAAATTGCACTACGGGGAAATGGGGTAAGAGAGGTCCAATGTAATAAATGGTTAAAATAAGGAAAGAAAGTGGCCTCTGAACAATGACGAAACATGTCCAAGGCTCCAAGCAGTAGATGTAAACTAAATTACTGTTGATATACAAAATTGGCAGATCGCTACTAAAACTTGTGAGTTAGAACCCTAAATTTAGGTGAAAGAGAGAATTAACGAGAGAAGTAGAGGACACTTCTTATTTCCGATATAACCAAAGTAATTACAAAAGAATCCATTCTCTAGAAACTTTAGTGTATATATATATATATATATATATATATATATATATATATATGTACAAGTTTTGTGACTAAACTATAAATTGTAATGTAAATGTAACTAGGTATTAGGCCTGCTCTGCACTTGGGCCAGATTTATTGATGAGTTTTCAGTTGGGCCCACGTTTACACCCCCCCTTCAAGATGGAGGGTGAGAACACCCCAAGCTTGGACAAAAGAGATCTGTGGGTAGCACCATACAAGGATTAGTCAGAATATCTGCAAGTTGCTGGCCTGTGGAGATAAAGTGTAAAGAGATGATACCATCAAATAGACAATCTCTAACGAAATGACAATCGACCTCAATATGTTTTGTGCGTTCGTGGAAGACAGGTTTCTTAGCAATGTGGAGGGCAGCCATACTATCACAGAACACAGGTATGGGAGTAAAAATAGATAATCCAAGAATAGCCAAAAGGAGATGGAGCCAGGACAACTCAGCTACAACCATTCGAAGGGCCCTATATTCAGCCTCAGCAGATGATAGAGAGATCGTGGGTTGCTTCTTGCTCTTCCAAGATATGGGGCTATCCCCAAGTGTAATGAAAAACCTAGTTACTAATTTTCTAGAGTTAGCACAAGCTGCCCAATCAGAATTTGAATAGGCTTTAAGAGAAAAATCAGCAGCATGAGATAGAAGAATGCCTTGTGCAGGATCATTCATAATGTATCGAAGAACATGAAGACCAACCTGCATGTGTGGTGTCTAAGGTCTTTGCAAAAACTGGCTTAAATATTGAACAACAAAAGAGATATTAGGTCGTGTGTGTTGCAAAAAATTAAGCTTGCCAATGAGGCGCCTATAGGTACTTGCATCAGCAAGAGGTGCATCCACATCAACTAAGAGCTTGAGAGAAGGATCAAGATGAGTAACAACTAGTGAAAAATGTTGACAACTGAATTCTGCCAATAAATCTGAGGCATATTTGAGTTGATTCACAAGATAACCAGTAGGATGAGAAGTGATCTCGAGCCCCAAAAAATAATGAACACATCCCAGATCCTTGATCTTAAATTGGGCATCCAGAAAAGCCTTCAAGGCATCCAACTCAGATAGGTTATCCCCAGCAAGGAGGATATCATCAACATATACAGCAAGAACCACTAATGAACCATCATAAACCTTAGTGAACAATGAGTAATCATTTTTGCTGGCTGTGTAACCTCTGGAAACCATCAGACAATTTAGAAAACCATTGTCTAGAAGCTTGTTTAAGTCCATACAAAGACTTTCTGAGTTTACAAACTAAAGGAGAGGAAGAAGAAGATGCAGAAGGAGAAGAAGAGATGACAAATCTAGGGGGAACCTTCATATACACATCCTCATGAAGGTCACCATGGAGGAAAGCATTTTAACATCTAGTTGAAAAACAGTCCAATTTCTTTTCACAGCTAAGGTCAAGAGACATTTAATTGTAGTAAGTTTGACAACAGGAGAAAAGTCTCATTATAATCAACACCCACTTTTTGAGTGTCACCTCTAATGACTAATATTGCTTTATACCTTTCAATGGAACCATCAGATCTCTGTTTAATTTTATAAACCTACTTACAAGGGATAGCTTTCTTGTGAGGGGGAAGAGCAATTACATCCCAAGTGTGGTTGGCATCCAATGCCTCAAATTCCTTCAACATGGCTTCTTGCCAAGCAGGATGAGAGGCTGCATGTTGATAGTATTGAGGCTCATGTGCATGGATGTCAGAAGTAGATAGCTTGGTAAAAGAAGAAACAGGTGCAGAGGACTGAACATGGGAACATACATAATCTGAGAGATAGGAAGGGGGATTGATAGTTCTGGAGGACTTTCTGACAAGAAGAGGTGAGGTAGAAGAAGAAGAAAGAGAAGGAGAAATTGAAGGAGAAGCAGGAGGAGGAGATGAAGAAGAATCAAGGTGAGGAGAGGAGGATACAAGTGGCTAGGAAGAAGGTGAATGAGAAACAGAAGATGGTGTAGTTGTGGAAACATCAGGTGAAGCAACATCAACAAAGGGATGTAAAGAAGGGATGGTAGGAAAAGAAGAGGGAGAAGTGGGGTGAAAAGGAAATATTAACTCATAAAATACCACATCTCTGGAGCAAAAAACTGAATGAGAATCCAAGTTAAGGAGCTTGTAGCCCTTCTTTCCACAAGGATAGCCTAGAAAAACAGCTGTAATAGATCTAGGTTGGAACTTGTCCCTACCAGGATTGGGAGAAGATGCATAAGCTAGGTATCCAAAATATCTTAAGTGGGAGTAAGAAGGAGGATTACCATGAAGTTTTTCAAAAGGAGAAATATGCATCAAAATGTTTGAAGGGAACCTGTTGACAAGATAAGTAGCAGTTAAAACACATTCACCCCAATATTTCAAAGGGAGTTTAGATTGAAAGAGTAAAGCCCCGGAAACCTCTAAAAGATGTTTATGTTTTCTCTCAACTATCCCATTTTGTTGTGGGGTATGAGGCATAGAGGTCTGATGAAGGATGCCATTGTCTGGAAAAAAATTCTTACATTCAGAACTCCCCCCTCCCTCCCCCAAATTCAAAAGCATTGTCAGACCTGAATGTCTGAACATTAGAATGAAAATTGATCTTAACCATGGAAACAAATGCCTTTAAAATGGGGAGAGCATTACTTTTACAAGAAGTGAGTCCAAGTGACTCTAGAATAATCATCAACTAAAATAATAAAATACCTAAAACCATTGTATGTACTAGTGTGGTATGGTCCCCATATGTCAATATGAAATAATTGAAAAGGAATAGAAGAATGAGTGGAACTTTCAGGAAAGGGCATTCTTTGTTGCCTAGCCATTGGACAGACAGAGCAATGAAAGTGTTGTTTAGAAGAGAGTTTATCAGACAAACAAGAGATAGACCTCATTTTGTGAAAGGCATGTGTCCGAGTCTTTGATGCCAAAATACATCAGTTTTATTGCCAGTATTGGGAGAAATACAAGAAGCACTATGATTTTCCAAAGTAGGAATAGAAACAGAATTACTAGCACAATGAGAAACAAAATTGACAATGGAATTACACTTATTTACAGGAATGAAAGAACTAATTGCAGGAGAATTAGAGCAAGAGACTGGAATTAGTGAAGCATCAGGATGCAGAAAGTATAGCCCTTTTGCAGCTTTACCAATTTTCAACGGCCTCTTCAGAGAAGGGGCCTGTAGAAAACAGGCAAATTTGGTAAGAATTGCATAACAATCAAGTTGAATAATCAATTTGTGAATGAAAATCAAATTAAATTGAAAAGAATGTACAAGAAGTACATTGTGTAAAGTAATATCATGTCTTAAATGTAAAGAACCAGTAGATATAACTTTCACTTTGTACCCATTAGGTAGAGTAATTAGAAAGGGAGCAAATAATGGTTGTAGATTGTGAAGAAAATGTTTGTGCGGTGTCATGTTGTTTGTTGCACCTAAGTCTATAATCCAAGCATTTACATCTAACTGTGATAAGCCACACACATGAAACTCAGGAATACTAACTACAGAACAACACATACCTGCAAAATTGGCATAAGCAGCATTTTCACTAAAAGAGCTCTCATAGTTGAAACTAGTAGAGACTAGAGGAGCTGTGACATGAGCATGCTGAATCAAGGACATGATCTGCTGATATTGTTCCTTAGTGAAGCCATGAGATGAAGAAGAAGAACTCCCAAGTTGAGTTGGAACATCTGTATTCTGAACACATGAAGTTGAACCTTTCCTATTCTTTGTAAACTTAAAATCTTGAGGAAATCCATGTAACCTGTAGCATTTATCAACTGTATGCCCAGTCTTCTTACAGTATTTACATGAAACAGTTGATGTGGGTTGCCTCTTGGGCTCAAATTGAACCTTTTGAAGAAAGTTCCTGTTGTGAGATCCTTGACCGACTGATGCAGAGAATGATGTAGAATCATTTGAGAAGCTAGGAACATCGAGATAAACTCTCCTTCTGATATTCATCATGTTGAAGCATAAAGTATGCTCTACTAATCGATGGCATGGGGAACATCATCATGATATTAGATTTACATGAGGAATAAGTGTCATTTAAATCATTGAGAAATTGAAATAGTCGCTGATCTTCCAGGAGCTTATGCAAGGCACCACAGGTACAGGTTGGTCCTACATAGGTTGCATTTAACTCATCCCATAAACCTTTCATCCTAGTAAAATATGTAGCTATATCTGATGATCCCTGAGTTGTTGTACTTATCTCCCTTTGGATTTGTATGTACTTTGATCCATTAGACTGACCAAGTCGTTCATTAATGTTTGTCCATATGTCTTTAGCTGTGTTAAATCCTATGAGACTAACTGAAATATCTCTGGTTAAAGAGTTAGTCATCCAAGCAATTAGCATGTCATTACATCTTTCCCAAGCAGGGTAATAAGGCGAATCAGTCCCTGGTTGGGGGGTTCCTTCCAGTAATAACTCCAAGTTTGTTTTTAGAAGATAAAGCGACAAGCATATTTATCCTCCAAGCAACAAAACCCCGACCATCAAACGAAGGAGAGACTAACGGAGTATTAGAATTATTGGATGGATGAATGTAGAATAGATGAGAAGGATCAACAGAAAATACAGTGAAACTATCAGAACTAGACGTAGATGTTGAGATGGTAGGAATGGTACCCATTACAAATTCAGTAGACAAAATGTGAAGGAACAGCACTAAGAAAAATCTCCAAATTTCTATCGTACAAAAGATAACTAGGTCAAGTGAGAATTTTTACCGTTAAACTGCAATTCATCACGCAAATCTAGCAATTTACACCAAAATTGAGCTGAATCGAGGCTGAAATCCAGAGAAGTTTCATTTTTAGAAGAAAAACTTGGAAAACTAATTTTCCACCAAATGAGAATTCCACCGGAGAAGTCTGTTGAGGCTACCATCGATCGATTGCGGACAGTGAGAGCTACATATACACTAGCTCTAATACCATGTTGATACACAAAATTGGTAGATCGCCATTAAAACTTGTGAGTTAGAATCCTAAATTCAGGTGAAAGAGAGAATGAACGAGAGAAGCAAAGGACACTTCTTATTTTCGATATAACCAAAGTAATTACAAAAGAATCCATTCTCTAGAAACTTCAGTGTCTATATATATGTACAAGTTTTGTGGCTAAACTATAAATTGTAATGTAAATGTAACTAGGTATTGGGCCTGCTCTGCACTTGGGCCAGATTCATTGATGAGGTTTCAGCTGAGCCCACGTTTACAATTACAACTAACTTTTGTATGCATCAAATCCACTCAAAGAACGTGGAATTCTAGAAAAGCCTTTACCTTCATGCCAGACAAGCATGTTGATGAAACAGGCACTTCAAGGCATTCAATTGTTGCTTCTAATATATATATATATATATATATATATTATTTTGTATAAAATGCATAAATATTTTGATTTTTTTTCCTACGTTATATGGAATAAGAAATTAGATTTTTCTTTCATTTTATTTTTAATATAAAGTTTTGATTTTTACTTCAAATTATATGTTCTTTTATTACTTTGTATAAAATGTATCAATATTTTTAGAATTTTTTTCCACATAAGATGGAATAAGCAATTAGACTTTTTTCTATTTTTCCAAAGTAAGATATAGGGTACGATATTTTTGTTTATTTTGGGAACATCTCCATCCCTAACACCAAATTAACTTATAATTTTATATAAATATAATATATACAAAAAGTAATATATCAAAAAAATCGGATATAAAATTAATATTATAAAGATCTTAATATAAAAACTAATTATATAAACAATATATGATAAATTAAAAGTCCAAAAAAATAAAAAGATTAATAAAATAATAATAAATCAAATTTGGTGTTGATGAATAGTGTTGCACCAAATTTGGTACAACACCATTCATACATTATAATGGTGCAAGATTTGGTGTTGCATTGGAGCAAAAAAAATACCAAATTTTACACCAAATTTAGATTTGATGCAAAAAATAGTGCACCCTTGGAGATGCCCTAAGACTTCCAATTCTCTCGTGAATCTAGTCCGGACTTAAATGATGAGTTGATTCTGTTACATGAAAGCTAGTGTAACTGTTCAGAGACGGTGCAAGCTAACGAAGTTGCAATAACTATCCGGTGAGATATAATTTGGTATAAATTATCAACTTTAAAACTCTTACTTTTCCTAGGGGTCTGTTGAAACGCCAGAGAAGCATATCATAGCCAGGCAGGCATGTTGATCACACAGATAGCTTAAACCCCAAATGTTGTTTCTAATATAACAGAATTATTATCTTCTATTTAAATTTTATTTTTTATTTCCTTCAAAAAAATTCTATTTTTTTTCTTTTTTCCATATTCATCATATGTAATTCATTTTTAAATAATGGTTATATTTCAATGTATAGAATTATAATAATAATAAAATTAACTTATAATTTTATATAAATATAATATATACAAAAATTAATATATCAAAACAATAGGATATAAAATTAAAATTATAAAGATCTTAATATAAAAATTAATTATATACAAATATATGATAAATTAAAAGTCAACAAAAAATAAAAAGATGAATAAAATAATAATAAATCAAATTTGGTGTTGATGAATAGAGTTGCACCAAATTTGGTGCAACACTATTCATGCACTCTAATTGTGCAAGATTTGGTGTTGCATTGGAGCAAAAAAATACCAAATTTTACACCAAATTTAGATTTGGTGCAAAAAATAGTGCACCCTTGGAGATGCCCTAAGACTGCCAATTCTCTCTTGAATCTAGTCCGGACTTAAATGATGTGTTTTCAATAAACGATGAGTTGATTCTGTTACATGAAAGCTAGTGTAACTGTTCAGAGACGGTGCAAGCTAACTAAGTTGCAATAACTATCCTGTGAAATATTATTTGGTATAAGTTATCAACTTTAAGACTGTTACTTTTCCTAGAGGTTTGTTGAAACGCAAGAGAAACATGTCATAGCCAGGTAGGCATATTGATGACATAGATAGCTTAAACCCCAACTGTTATTTCTAATATAAGAGAATTAAATTTTATTTTTTATTTCCTTCAAACAAATTCTATCTTTTTTCTTTTTTCCATATTCATCATATATAATTCATTTTTAAATAATGGTTATATTTCAATTTATGGAATTATAATAATAATAAAATTAACTTATTATTTTATATAAATATAATATATATAAAAATTAATATATCAAAAAAATAGGATATAAAATTAAAATTATAAAGATCTTAATATAAAAATTAATTATATACACAATATATGATAAATTAAAAGTCTAAAAAAATAAAAAGATGAATAAAATAATAATAAATAAAATTTGGTGTTGATGAATAGTATTGCACCAAATTCGGTGCAACACTATTCATGCACTGTAATGGCGCAAGATTTGGTATTGCATTGGAGCAAAAAAATACCAAATTTTACACCAAATTTAGATTTGGTGCAAAAAATAGTGCACCCTTGGAGATGCCTTAAGACTGCCAATTCTCTCGTTAATCTAGTCCGAACTTAAATGATGTGTTTTCAATAAACGATGAGTTGATTCTGTTACATGAAAACTAGTGTAACTGTTCAGAGACAGTGCAAGCTAACTAAGCTGCAATAACTATCCTATGAGATATTATTTGGTATAAGTTATCAACTTTAAGACTTTTACTTTTCCTAGAGGTCTGTTGAAACGCCAGAGAAGCATGTCATAGCTAGGCAGGCATGTTGATGACACATATAGCTTAAACCCAACTGTTGTTTCTAATAAGAGAAATAAAACACTGGGGAATGGTACACAGGCGGATCCAGAATTTCAAGAGAATGAGTGCATTGTTATAAAGAAGTGTATCTAAAATTTGCATTTGACGGATTTAACTTTAGTCTTTTACCATGAACTGACTATACTTTTTAAATTATACGTTCAAAATTATATTCTTTTTGAAATTTTAGTAATTTTCACATGTATATTTATACTTCTTGCCGAAATCAAGACCGTTTAAAGTGGGATTTGAACCGCTAATTTCACGAGATACACCCAATAATAACTGCACCATATGAGTCTTTGAGCACGGGTTCACGCATATATATATTTAAGTAATTTTGAAAAAATATAACATTATTATACATATGTTTACCTCGAAAATACGAGTAACAATTAAATTTGATTTGTGGTTTTAAAGATATTTGACTTAGTTCAATACCAATTAATAATCAAGAAATATGAAGTAGAAATGAAAGAAGTAAGAGAATCAAACCAATGTTATCTAGCAGTAGTGACCTCGAGCTGAATTTAGCACAATAAAGTAAGAACAATAAATATAAAGAACATGTCTGATGAACAGTAGGCAAAAAGTAGAGAGTATATTCTTTGCTCAATGATTAGATGATGTTACAATTGATTGGGGTCCCCTTTATATAATAGGGGAACCCTAAATAAAGTATATTTATATTTACAGTAAGGAATATTCTTGGTATATCTGTCTAACCGCCTAGTACGGAATGATACAATTCTATTACGGGATTTACGCCATGATTTTGGGGGCGTGGCAGGAATCTAGCTCATTCTGTTACAAATCCACAACGGTACTATTTTGGGGTTGAGCATACTTGACCTTGATATTCCTTGTACTCCTATCTCCAGGTATTGCACTCTGTCTTCGAGCTCGAGTCTGGCCAACTGGTCTCGAACTCGACCTCGCCTAGACTTGGGCCTAGGACGGACCCTCGAGCCTATAAATCGGAGGCATATGAGAAGCCTGTTAGGACCAGGACCGTTTGGGCCCGGGCCCGGGTCTTAAGTTGGCCGGTTCAACCGGTCCTAACGGGTCCCAAACGGGCCTAACGACTACTTTTAAAAAAAATCTAAATTTTTTTAGCCGTTGTAACATTTAAAAAGTGGTCGTTGGCTTACAAAAATAGTCGTTTGGGCTTTCTAAAATAGCCATTTAACCCNATCATGCCTGGTGATTCT